GGGAAAAAAAGAAACATCGTCTACAGGGGAAAAAAGGCCTAAATATTTGGAAACTTTGGAACAAAAATTTGGATGTGATTAAAACGGCCCTAAACAACGGGGACTGTCAAAACTTACCAATGAGTTTTGGCTGGCTTCGAAATTTAAATTTCACAAAATTTATATTTTACAGCGCACATTAAGTGCCGCACTTCGCCCCTGCGCATTAGAACCCCACGATTCCTCCCGTGGGCGCCTTCCGGTATATGCCGGGGAGGGGTTGAGATTGATAACGTTGCCAAGCCACCTAAGCTCTAAAAATTCAGTTGTGGGTTGCTGTCGGTGTGTAGATGCGATATTCGGTCTCAGATTTTGAATCCGGGGTCGGGAAGGTGGGTTTTCAGCGAAACTTGGTGATTTGTCATACTCAATGTAAAGGGAAACGCAAATCAGGGGAAACGAACTTTCTGTCCCCCCCCCGGGACAAAACGGGGATTTCCCCATATCTTGCCCATTTGAAGCGCTTTTTTTACCGCTGTTCCGGTAGAACAAACCCTACAATTTTTGCAAACTTTGCTGGCCACTTCCGACCAGGGGATACGAAATTTATGTCCCTCCCGGGGACAAAAAGGGGATTTCCCCATATCTTGCCCATTTTATGCGCTTTTCAGACCACTGTCCCGGTAGAACAAACATTACAGTTTTTGCACATTTTACTGGCCACTTCCCCCCAGGGTACACGAAATTTGTGTCCCCACCCGGGGACGAAACGGGTATTTCCCCATATCTTGCCCATTTAATGAGCTTTTCACACCGCTGTTCCGGTGGAACAAACCCTACAGTTTTTGCACACGTTACTGGCCACTTCCCACCAGGGTACACGAAATTTGTGTCCCCCCCCCGGGGAGAAAACCGGGATTTGCCCATATTATTACGACCAAGAGCAAAGGGTAGCGCAAAATACTTGCAAACGTTGCGTTCGACACCACACCAGAAAAGCAAGAAGAACAACAAACGTCGACGAGTTCCATTCTTGTGGTTGGCAGCCAACATATCCATCCATCCCTAGCCCACCTGCGGGAACCTCTTCTTCGCGATACGTACGCGACCTCTTGAGCTTACGTATTGCGCTTCCTCCCGCTCCCCTTCCTCCTCCACCTCCTCCTCCTCCTTCTCCTCCCCCTCCTCGTCCTGCTCCTCTCCCTCATCTTCCTTCTCCCCTCCCCCCCCCACCTACCCCATGCTCTGGTCAAGCGTAGGCGCCACTGGGGACTCGTCCGAAGATATGACCGGAAGAGTAACGCCGGTCAATTGAGGCCCAAGCGCGCGTCTCCCAACCATCTCTTTTCCCGACATCTCCATCACCTCGCCAACCAAGTTGGGGTACACCTTCGCTACCATGCAGTCATCGTAGCAGCCTATTCGGCAAGTCAAGCAGTAGCACGATGCGCCCCGAACCCGCAACTTCCAAGATCTGGTGAACTTCTTGGGGGCGGCCCATGTCCTCGCCCTTGACTCGTCTACCGCCCACTTCCTAGCCGTCAACACCTTGTCTCCGGCCGCTCCCACCACAAAATCGTCTGTCTGCACCCCCACACTAGTAGCCCACACAAGACTATAGG